GGGGGGGGGGGGGGGGGGGGGGAAGGGCATCACATCCCTGAATGACTAAAGTTTTAGCGCTGAAAGTGGCAGTGTAGACACACTCTGAGTTTGCAGAGCTCTTCTTCCAGTCCAAGAAAGGTACTCAGAGTGTCAATAGCTAAATACAAGGTTGAACAAATTGCATATGGACTTAACACATGTTGCAAGAGACCATTCAAGGTGAAATGGACACTTAACACCTTTGCAGTCATGGGACACAGGAGGGCTAGTGGGTTACAGGAAACCTGCACAACACCATCAAAAAATGAGCCTGGGAGCTTAAATTCCTCACTTTTTCTAGACACTAAAAATCATGGACTCCTATTTGTCCTAGGAATGCAAAGGTATTAACTGTCCACGTCCCCTTGAATTGTCTCTTGCAGCATGTGCTAACTTTATGTCTAACAATCGGTTTCATCTTGTATTTAGCTGTGACACTCTGGAGCCTGGGCTACACTGCAGGGTTAGGTCAATGTAAACTGCCTTGTGGCAACCTAGCTGTGGCTCCTGGCAACGTGAGTGTCTCTCTATGCCCATTTAGTAACACCACCTCCCTGAGGGGCGTAGAACACATACCTGAAATTTTGTTCATCTTCATTGTCACTCTGTAGAAGATCATCATTCAGTTCTTCATCTGACAAGTCTGACTGATTCTAGATTATAATAAAACAAGAACAAATGTTCATGACTTTTTTTAAAACACAGTATCTCTTTGAAATAAAAGCAAAGTTAAAGGTTCTCTAAACACTACGATAAAAGAATATTGCCAATAAGCAACATGTTGACAATAAAAACATCTGTTCAAATTTGATTGCTTTTTGAAAGAATTCTATAATTAGCTGATGAAAGGAATGATGTAGAAGACAACATATCTAAATTTCAGTGAAGCATTTGATATAGTCTCTCATGAAAACTTGCAAAATTCATTCCAATTGGCTTAGATTTCAACATTGCCACAGGGACTGAAAACTGGCTGATGGACAAACTAAAGGTAATGATCAACCAGCAATGTAATGAGTTGGGGGAGGTGTTTAGTGGAGTATCAGAAGGGTTGATATTAAGTGCCTTCTTACAAACAACTTAATTAATCTAGTAGCATGACACAGAATGGGAGGGAACATCATGTTACTGCCATTTCTTGAGGATACTAACTTGGGAGAGACAAATAAATGGAAAGGATCTAGAGAGGTTAGAAATATGGGTAAATAGGAAGGAGTTCAAAGAAGAGAAAAAAAATTACTCAGGCATATGTAATTTTTGCTGCCCTTCTCTGAATTGCTTCCAGTTTGTCAGCCGTGCTATCAACTGTTCTATTTGACTGTAACAATGAGTTACTAACTAAAAGAGCTAACTACACATAGCTTGGTTAAGTGACAGTATTCCCATCCTCCCAAAGTAGTAAAAGGTGGGTTTAGCTATAAGTAATGGGATGAGATTAAGAAGAAACCAATTTAGGCTTAATATCAGTGAAATAACTTCCCAAAAGATTTATTATTAGGCTGTTGAACAGTATCTCACAGAAAGTGGTGGGAGTCCTGCCATTTAAAAAATTTAAAATAAGACTGCACAAAGCACAATAGGTACTCCTGGGGGCATTCTGTGCCAAAAAATTAAAAATTCTGCGCACATTTTAAAACTCTGCAAATATTTGTCAAAATAACACTACATAATCATGCCAGTTTCAATAATTTTGGTAATTTGGTAACAATACAGACACACAAAAATTCCCCTAGGAGTAGGGAGTTAAAGAAACCCCTATGACAACCCAGTTCCTGTTTCTCTGCCACCTTCCCCCTCCCAGAGCCCAGCCCAGCCACACACACCCCGAGTCCACGGATCCAGAGGGAGAAAAAGCTTGATGCTCGGTCCCAGGCTTGCATGGAGTTTTGTGCGCGCTGCCTTCTCCTTTCCTCAGGGCATGCTGGGAACTGCAGCTGCCAGCAACTCTCTAGCTCCCTCCCCCTCCCTCTGGCAGGGTCTTCTATGTGCGAGCTGGGCTCTGCCGGGTCCAGCAGCCCCTATTGGCAATTAACAGCACTGCAGCCCATTTCTGTGGGGGAAAGGAAATTCTGCATGCACGTTAATTTCTGCAAAATTCTGCATTGCACAGTCACGCAGAATTCCCCCAGGAGTAAGTAGGTAACTTTGAAAAGAAATCCTGTATTGCCTGTATGATGGATTAGAATTTATTCATATTTGGATTAATTTATTTGTCTAACTCCGACCATTCTGAGAGATGTTTTTTCACCAATTTATTATGGCAAGGATTTCCTATGTAGGTATTATTCCTACCATCTTAAAAAAATGTAAAATAATGGAATTAAATTTATATTTATGGTACAAACCACTAAAAATGCACCAAAGAAAGCCAGATTTGCCAGTGGTACTTGAGGTCTGTTTAACATGAAGTTATATCATAAAATCTATCCTCCAGCTGTGAGTAAAAATTTTCAGAAAACAATCTCTCTTTTTAATTTTGTTTACTTAGTATTTAACAGAGTAGCCTCCTCTTTTTCTATTTTCTCTTCCTATTTTCTGAGGAGAAGCCCCACTCTCTCCAGAAGACAGAGTAAGCCTGCTGAAGCAAGTAAAACCTGTTTTGGGCACACCACAGGAAGTTTTGTTTTGGGAATGGGTCTCTCTCTCTCTCTCTCCAGGAGTCTGTGATGCAGGAGGGAGGACCCCTAGACGTCCCGTACTCCTCGCAGCCCTTCTTATTGGGATCTGACCTTTCAGTACCATCTGTCCCCCAATAACTGACCTTAGGAATTTTCCTACTGTGGGAAGGACAAAGCCATTGCCTAGTAGCTGCCCCATACACAGAAAGAAGTGGAAGTGGCTATGAGCTTTGGCTGCTGCCTGCCTTCCCCATGCATCCCTGATAGAGAAGAGCTGCAGTTCACTGGTTGTAGAAGCTGCACTGGTATCTCAGACTGGAAGGAATCAAGAAGGCTAGGACTGTTGGAATGGGTCTCAGGGCTGGTCTATACTTATAGCTAAACCAGCACTACTGCAATGGCAGAGCGCTTTCCCGTCAATGTCTGTATTCCATCTCTCTGAGAGGCAGAAGGTAAGTTGGCGGGACAGTGTCTCCCGTCGATACAAAGCGGTGTGGGAGTTATGGCCAATTCAGTTATGTAACTTACATAACTGAAGTCGACGTAACTTAGGTCGACTTACAGCTTTAGTGCAGGCCAGGCCTCAGGAAGGGAAGAGAAGAATGTTGGGTAGCATCAGGGAAGTGTTGTTTTTGCACTGCTTAAGTGACAGAATAAGCCAAGCAGAAACTAGTGTTGAGAACTACCTCTCCGGACTGGTGAGTAGAACTGGGTGGAGAACAGTAACTCCGTTTCACAAAGGATTGGTTGGAACAAAACCAAAACATTTAGAAATTCTCTGCAAAAGGGAATGAAGCCCTGGGGCAATCTGCAAGGCAGGGTGCCCCAGAGTCACAGACACTGAAAGCACTGGGTCAAGAGGAACTTAGTCGAAACTGAACAATCTCTGCGAAACGTTTCAATTTTTTTTCCCCACTAAAAGTTGGTGTTGGAATTTCTTCAACCACCTTTACTGTTTAGATGATCTAGGTGATATTAATATATGTATAAGTTTGAAAGGTCTGCTATTGTTTGTGCTGTCTTTCGCAGTGGACTGCAAGAATTGTTTTGGGGGTCTTTTAGATTTCGGTATTTAAGTTGATTTTACCCATATAAATAGGAGATCCTTGATCATTTATAAATGGTCATATAACATGACATCATGAGTTGAGAGTAAAATATAGCTTCACATTTAAAATTGTAATGAATTACTGGGCATACATTAAACATGTTTATTTCTTACCTTTTTACCAGTAAGCAAATCCTCTCCAAGCAAATCATCTTCAAGTTCACTGGAAAATATAAGCAAATATTAAGAGTACCCATATCACACACACGAAGAAAAATATATTTTTTCTGGAATAATTATTCAATACAGTAATTTCAATATTGGTCAGAGGAGAATTGTTACTGAATCCACAATGCTTTTTGTTTGATAAAATATATAGCACATTAATATGACGACTCAGGAAAGAGGTTTACATTATGCAAGGGATAGGCACTGAACTTCTATCTTAAGGAAGGGTGGATGTTTTCAAGATATTGGAGTCTTTTATAAGCCATCCTTCCCAAGATAGCCAAATCATAGTACTCAAATCCAATTCCCTACATGTGGATATCTTCATGCCTTTCATCTCTGTAATTCTACTTGATTAAGCCACTAAAGAGGCACAAAGAAGCTAAATTCCTGGTAGTCGATTAGACCCAGTATGAACAGCTGAAGAGTGAGAAGAACTTACATTTGGAGGGCAAGAGAAATCCCGGGGAAACAGACCCCTCCCCTTTGAAAAGATTTGTTCAAAGCTGGGAGAGTGTTTGAATGCTTTTGAGGGATAGCTCAGTGGTTTGAGCATTGGCCTGCTAAACACAGGGTTGTGAGTTCAATCCTTGAGGGGGCCATTTAGGGATCTGGGGCAAAAATCTGCCTGGGGATTGGTCCTGCTTTAAGTAGGAGGTTGGACTAGATGACCTCCTGAGGTCCCTTCCAACCCTGATATTCTATGATCTCTAAGAGTCTACACTAAAATGTAGCTCCCACTGATGTAAGTCGCCCTCTAAACTGACTTTATGCAACCTTCATGAGAGGAGTAGTGCTTAGGTCAATGTAGTTAGGTTGACACAATGTCTGTGTAGACATTGCGTTGCTTATGTTGCCTGTTGCTGCCTGACAGCTGTCAGCACCCCGGGCGGCGGGGCTCCGACTGTCAGCAACCCGCAATGCCCCATGCTGACGGTTAAGTCAATGGACACACTCCTGGTGAGAGCGCGCACTACCGACAGAAGGAGCATAGTGTGGACATGAAAAACCGATTTAATTACTGCAGTGGCTGTAAGCTGCGGTAACTTTAATTGACTTAATTTTGTAGCGCAGACTTGCCCGTAACCTCTCTCCCATAACTAAGTTCTGGGTTGCCCCCAAAGAACCACTTTTGCAAGTGAGAAACTTTAGGGCCCTTGCTAGATCTGCCCAGATCTTTCCGGTGGCATAAAGAACAAGGGAGAGAGAGAGTAACATGTAGATCCCAAAACACAACAATAGGAGGGAACTGAAGTTCCCATTCTGTAAGTGTCAATATTAGGATCTCCAAGCCCTGATTCTGAAGGTTTGCATAAAGGATTCAGAATATGGCTTAGTGTTAAGGAATAAGAATGTACCCTTAGATGTATGGCAAGCAGAGCTTGAAGAGACAACTGATTTTTACTGATTTCCTTTGTGGGAAAAGGTAACAGCCCATAAATTACAGTAAAGTAAGTTTGGGATATATAAACAGGGAGGTAACTAAGGATGTTCAACGACCAAAGTAGAACATTCATCTTAATATTTAATCAAGCCCATAGTGAAATGATTAAGCACTTGCCATTTTTCCAATTTATTTGCCAGTAAGTCTAGCTGCAGATTCAAATTACACATGCTAGATCGGAGAGTTGGTTGGGAATATGGAATAGGTATTTCAACACAGCTGAAGCCCAATGAAAATTCCAGGACTAATGCTGGTACCAAAAGTAGCCCTTAGAAAAGGATAAGATACGTTTTGCTGAGTTAGTTTTACTGCCTGACAATGTTCAAAAAAATATTCTTAAATGTCAAAAGATGAGGAGAGATTTCAGTTCAGCAATAAATAGGAAGGGATTATCAGCACACAACATTCATTTATGCTTACTGTTCTCAAACGTCATCCCATGAATACCTGTATATTAAACTGATTGCTAAAGGTTCAGTAGCAATATCAAACAAGAGTAGGTATAGGAGACACCTGTCTCGTGCACCCCCAGTAAAGTGACCAGACATTAGGCCCCTTTATGCACAGAGGCAGAGACCTCTGTAAAGGAAATGGATCCAGTAGAATTTAAATCCAAACCCCATCAAGTAGGCAAGTGTTTCAAAAAGGCACTGTTAAAATTCTAATGGGAAACAATTTTCCAGAACTGTGTCTTATTTTGCATTCTGGATTGCTCCCTATATCTCTTCCAAAGTAACAGAGGTCCTCCAGCTCCTGGTTACCATGCTCCAATATCCAAGGAAGGGTAAGGTGATCTAAGAATTCAAAAGGGCTTCACGGTGGGGGGATGGGGTTAGGCCAAGTAGCGACCCAAAAAGGTGAAAGCCATGGGGGTAGACTATGGGAGATGATCAAAACTACCAGAGGTGACACGTAGGGGGGTTAGGGTTACCAACTTTCTAATTGCACAAAACCGAATACCTCCGCCCTGAGGCCCTGCTCCTGCCCCTTCTCTGAGGCCCCACCCCCCACTCACTCCATCTCCCCACCCTCACTCACTTTCACCAGGCTTGGGCAGGGGTTTGGGGTGCAGGAGTGGGGTGAGAGCTCCGGCTGGGGGTGCGGGCTCTGGAGTGGTGGTGGGGGGACTGACAGCACAAGGCCCACCACCACTGGGGGAAGGATGGGGGATAGGAATGCACAACCCCGGCCTGAGCTTCAGCCTCTGACAGCTGAAGCCAAAGAAGTCAGGGAGGAATCCATAACTGCCGTGACCTCCATGGCTAAATCATATCCTTAATCTTAAAATAATAAGCACCTGGTAGTAACTACAATAAAAAAAAAGTCTAATTTGTATGAACAAAGCAGATCACAGCTGTACTGTTCAATTAATGCTGGCAAGTTACTGCTTCATATAATTAAAATATAAAGTGAAGTAAAATAAATTGAAGCACAATGAAGAGGCTATCTACATTTAAAGAAATGGATTAGCTCTTCTCAAAACCTGAACCTTCATATGCCTTAACTCCTTACTAAAAAAAATTAGTGTTTCCCCATTTCTTTAAAAACAAAAAACAAACCAAAAAAAGCTTCATTATAAGTGGAGTTTTACCATAACAAGAGGCTCATGGCAAACAGTGCCCTCATTTTCATCACAACAATAGCAGCACAGTTGTGGAGTGGGATAGGAAGGAGTACTGGCCAATGTCTAGAAGGTCACCTAGTCACTCTCAGTGGAAGTCAACTGTAGTGAAAATAAATCAGATCATCTCACTATCTACTAAAAGCAAAAGGCAGAAAAATGGGGAACCTTTGATTCCTACTCGCCTTTTCTCTCACAAGGCTGTGACAACTCCCTCCTTCCTCTGCTGAGCAATAGCAGAAGGGAAGACAATTACTCTAGAAGGCAAGTAAAAGTTAGTAGGTGATAACTGCTGCACTTCTAGGACATTAGCTCAAAGGAAACTGCTTAGCCTGGTCTACACTACAAAGTTAGGTCAACATAAGCTGCCTTGCGTCAACCTAGTTGTGCATGTGTCTACACTTAAATGTCTATCACCAATGTAATCTCTCCATTACACTAACATAGTAACACCACCTCCCGTTCATGGAGCAGCTGCAAACAGTGGAGTGCTGCTTCTGGGCCTGAGAAACTAATGCTGACCGGTGGAATTGCGTCATAATGCAGACGTGGGGTGACAAACTGCATGCGCAAGGTCACATTCTTGGATTTGTGTGCCAAGTCTTGCCCCAGACCTCCAGCACAAGGACACAAAAATGAGAGCTGCTTTGTCAGTGGAGAAGTGAGTGGCGACCACACTGTGGAAACTTGTAATGACGGATTGGCTGTTAATTGTCTCCTCTATGCAGAATTGTGAATCTTAGCAATGTGCAGGACATAATGGATGGATTTGCAGAAGTGGGGTTTCTGAACTGCTGTGGAGTGGTAGACAGCACACATCCCTATTTTGGTACCAGACCACCTTGCCACAGAGTGCATCAACAGAAAGGGCTATTTTTCTATGGTTATGCAAGTGCTGGTGGATCATCTGCAATACTTTACCAAGCTCAATATTGCCTGGTCAGGGAAGGTGCATAATGCTTGCATCTTTAAGAACCCAGGACAGTTCAGAAAACTACCAGCAGGGACCTTCTTTCCTGAACATCCAATTACTTTGGCGATGTTGAACTGCCAGTAGTGTTTTTGGGGGACCCAGTCTACCCCTCACTCAAGAAGCTGTACACCAGCCACCTCAATAGCACCAAAGAAAAATTCAGCTACTGTCTCAGCAGGTGAAGAATGACAGTTGAATGTGCTTTTGGCAGGCTGAAGGGTGCTGGCGCTGTTTACTCACAAGATTGGATCTCAGACAGAAAATTATCCCAATTGTTATAGCTGCCTGCTGTGTCCTGCATAATATCTGTGAAGCAAAGGGGAAGAGTTGCCGCCGGGGCAGAGTGCAGAGGTGGTCTGTCTCTCTGTTGAGTTTGAACAGCCAGACACAAGGGCCATCAGAAGAGCTCAATGTGGAGCTCTATGGCTCAGGGAGGCTTTGAAAGAGCACTTCAACAGAGAGCCACAATAATGGGTTGTGGTGTACTGTGCTCTATCTGGCCCTGCAGTTTGGGGGCCTGTTACAAATTATGTGGTGCTTGCTGCACGTCTATCAATACAACACTGACAATGCGCCTATTAATTTTATGGTGCTTGCCGTTTATGATTTAGGCTGTTTGCCACTGATCCTATGAGTTGTCACAGTGTACAATATTGGCTGTGTGGGTGCTTTCACTACTTTCAGGCATTCTGCAACATATGCTGGGAACTAATAATGATGAATTATTTTCCGAACAATTCAGTTTTATTTACTAATGAAAACACCTACAAAAATTCTTTTCAAGTTAAAAGCAAATACATTAAAACCTTAATAAATTTATGGAACAGAACAGAAAGGAACAGTCATTTCAATTTTAGCTACACATGCATCAAGCGTGGCACTCACAGGTCACTGTATGTATATTGTCCTTAATGTCCGCCAGTGTGGAGCGGTAGGGATAGGGAGATGGCCCTGGTGCCATGTGGAATGTTGGCGGAGGGAGGTGCAGGGAAGTGCTATATTGGAGTTCTCCATGGACTGCACAGGAAGGTGAGCCTGGGATTGTTGAAACTGTAGGTCTGCAAGTGTCTGCAGCATCCGTGTTTTCTCTTGGAGAAGTCCCACTACTTCTTGGTGTATCTCCCTCTCCTTTTCCTGCTGGGACTCTTGAGCTTTTCTTCTGTCCACTCTTTCCCTCTCCATACAATCTGCAGTATTCATCTTCCAGGCCCTCTGTTCACTGTCTGATGCAGCACTGACTCGCAGAATATGTCATCCCAAGTCCTCTTCTTTTTCCTCCTTATCTGGCTCAGGTGTTCTTTGGGTGTGGAGGGGGAATCCCCCAACAGCAGCAGCCACAGATAAAACACACAGAGGTACGTCACCATTATAGTCACAAATGGAAAGCAAAAGATAAGTTTTGGAACTACCTTCCCTTGCTCCCCTAAATTTTTAAACAAGACATGCTTATTGACAGTTCTGCTTCAGAGTACTTGTGCTCGGCAGCTGTGGTGAGTATGGCCTGTCAGGGATATGAGAAACAAGGAGGGAGTTGCTCAGTTGCATGAAATTGAGCATAGGACAATGGCACTGAATACTGGCAGCATTTTCCATAGGTGGTGGTGATTTTAGCTGATATCTCACTCGTGAGGGTAACAAAACCAGACAGCACAGCTGCTGCAGGCATCCTGAAGCCACCCAGGCTCGTATGCTGCTAGTCTTTTTACTGCATTGGTGTCTTCTGAAGACATTGTTGATTGGCATGGGAAAGTGTCCTACCGCAGAGGAAGAAATAAGGCACCCCCCTAGAAACCTTTGGGAGAGGATTGCTGTGTACCTCCATGGAAGTTTCATCGAGATCTCTCAGAACGATTCAAAGGACATCCTCCTGAGAGATAAACTGTTCCTCATGCCCCCCGCCCCGGCCTAATTCTACAGGGACACAAAAAGCAGATAAGAGCTCTAGCTCTTTGTTGTATCACTACCTCTTCTCGTACAACTAGATTAATGAAAAGTCAATAGCTGTGTCCTAAGTTGGGGGTGCCATCACTGTGATGGGAAAAAAATTCACCCATTTAACCAACGTTCCTTCTTCTGCATCAGGCTTGCCTATGCTCGACTGGACTGCAGTGGAGTCTCAAACAGGTCCTGGCTTGTGGCACAGCTGGACCTTCCAGTCACATGTCCTGGTCCTCTTCCTCCTCCACTTTCCCCCTATTCATGTCAGGAGCCTGTGACTTGGACTCTTCAGAGGTATCCACGGTGGCGTGTGGGGTGGTGGTGGGGTCTCCCCCCAAGTATTGCATGCAACTCTTTGTAAAAGTGGCAGGTCATGACTCGGCATTGAATCAACTGTTGGCCTCCCTGTCCTTCTCATGTGCCTGCTGCAGTTTCTTCACTTCCATACAGGACTGTTGCTGATCTTCGTCAGACCCCTTCTCCTGTGCCTCCCGTGCAATCTGCTCATAGATGTCCATGTTTCTACTGCTAGTCCATAGCTGTGTTTCACAGCCTCTTCTCCCCACAGACCCAGGAGATCCAATATCTCCTGTGTACTCCTGTCTGGAACGTGGAGCCAGCTGGGCAGTTTCACACAACAGTGGAAAGTTGGTAGGTGTGCTTGCCAAGATGGACAATCGGGAAAAGGCATTTCAAAATTTGGAGGGTTTTAAAGGGATGGGGTGTGTGGCTTCTGGTCACCGTAACCCGTGGGCAGTGGAGTTAACAATTGTGACCAGAGTGGTCAGTGTTGGGCATTGTGGAACAGCTGCTGGAGGACTGTTAGGGTTGACATAGGCAATTCAGTGCCTACACTCGTGCTACATCGACCCCAATATGTTGACCATGGCTCAGCGCTGCTTAGGGAGGTGGTGTTACCATGTCAGTGTAATGGAGAGATTACACTAGTGGTAGACATTTAAGTGTAGACACATGCACAACTAGGTTGATGCAAGGCAGTCTCCTGAACCTCAGCTGGAGATAATTTTCAAATAAAGAGAGAGCTATAAGAAAGGGGAGCAGAGGCCCCAAATTATCTCTCCCTTCATCTCTACTCATGACATCAACCACACCTGAAAGACAAGGAAATTAACACTGAACTGTGGGGGAAGAGACTACTAGAGCCTGTGGTGAGAGAAACTTTGGCTTTTAGTTTACTTAGTTGCATTTTACCTTTTATTTCATTGTAACCAATTCTGACTTTTTATGCCTTATTACTTGTAATCACTTAAAAATCTTTTTTTTTGTAGTTAATAAACTCATTTTATTGTTTTATCTAAACGTGTGTGTGTTTGGATTGAAGTGTCTGGGAAACTCCATTTGAGATAAGGTTTGTGCATATCTATTAATGAAATGATGGACTTTATATAAGCTTGTACTGTCCAGGAGGGTGCTGGGCAGTACAAGATGCACATTTCTGGGGGAAAGTCTGGGACTCGGTGTTTGCTGGTGTTGCCTGGAGTATAATTCATTGGTGGCTGGCTGTAACACTCATACAGTATAGCTGGGAGTGATTTACATGCTGGAGGCTGTGTTGGGGCAGATCAGGAGTTGTTGCTCTCACAGTGAAGCAGTGTAAAAGGTACACCAGGTGGGAGAATTGGGGGAACACAGCTGTTCAACAGCCCAGACCAGAGGTGGGCAAACTACGGCCCGCGGGCCGGACCATTCTCCCCAGCCCCTGAGCTCCTGGCCCGGGAGGCTAGCCCCCGGCCCCTCCCCTGCTGTTCCCCCTCTTCCGCAGCCTCAGCTCACTGCACCACCGACGCAATGCTCTGGACAGCGAGCTCCTGGGGCAACACAGCTGCAGAGCCCGGCCTGACCCGGAGCTCTCTGCTGCGCGTTGCGTGGCTGGAAACAGTCAGTAAGGAGAGGGGGTGTTGGATGGGGCAGTGGGGGGCAGGTCAGGGGACAGGGAGCAGGGGGAGTGGATGGTGTGGGGATTTGGAGGGGGCTGTCAGGGAATGGGGAGGGTTGGATGGGACAGGAGTCCCGGGGGGCCATCAGGGGCGAGATGCAGGGGGGGGAATCGGGAACCAGGCCACGCCTGCCTGTTTGGGGAGGCACAGACTCCCCTAACCAGCCCTCCATACAATTTCTGAAACCTGATGCGGCCCTCAGGCCAAAAAGTTTGCCCGCCCCTGGTCCAGACTGTATCCTGGGGAATGTCACAGCAGGTTCATGGAATTTTCAATACAGGCACAAAAATTTGGGGATAGAGAAGACTCTATGGGGTGGAGAAAGTTGTATGATGGGAACCTGACCCTACAGTCCCAGTCACCCCTGCGTGACTTGTTTCTGCCCCACCATGCATTGCCAAAACGTCCCAAAAGACATTACGCTGGACAATAGAGTTTTGTACACTGTGATGCCTACCCATAGTGCATCGCACTGTGCATCAAAACAAGCAGTTCTGGTGACTATGCACAGCGCTGATGCAAGGAGCCAAGAATGCATGCACACAAGCGATATACTAACTTTAGCAGCTTTATGCCGACGTAACTTGCGGCAGCAAAAGTTTGTAGCCTAGACATGTCCTTAGAGTGGATAAAAATTGTACTGTAAACAGAGTGAAAGATCAGACAAAAGCATTAAATCAATTAGGGACTTTGATTAGACTCTACATCGGTTTCACTATACTAAATGTCTGAACAAATCACCATGCTACTAGCATAGAAGAGAAAGTGTAAACCTTTTTGGCAAGTAGCTTGACAAGTGTAGTTGGATCGTAGGACTCAATACAAAAGAACATAGCTTTGTTTCCCAACTAATGGTATGTCTACACTGGCAAGTTTCTGCGCCACAAGTTATACCACTTTTATTAAAGCACTGGAATTAAACCGCTCTTGTGCGTCCACACTGTGCTCCTTGTGACGCTGGAGCACATCCACATTAGCAGCTCTTGCAACGGCAAAGACAGCAGTGCATTGTGGTAGCTATCCCACTGTACGACTGGCTGCAGGGTTCTTTGGGAAGGGTTTGCAATGCCTCATGGGGCAGGCACAGCATCATATGATGCACGTTTCCCAATCCCATTGTTCCATGGGCATCCTACTACATTGCCAGCTGCTTTTCAACTGAAGCGGGGAGGGGTGAAGGAGAGTGAAAGACAGGGTGTGTGTGTGTGTGTGTGTGTGTGTGTAGGGCGGGGAGAGAGACAGTGTGTTTTGGATGACAGAGAGTGTGTCAGCATGCTGTCTTGTAAGTTCAGACAGTGGCAGGAAGCAACCAGTCCTGAGGCAGGGGGAAACCCTGACATCAGCCCCCGCCTCCCTCCATGGGCTCTCTGCAGAGCAATCTCTCTCTCTCACACACAGACACATGCCTCTGTGTTCAACAGCACAAGCATTCCACATTAATGGTTTGCTTTGTGTCCCGGAGCAGAGCAGCACAGCACATGATGGCTGTCAGAAAAGGTGCTTTGAATGGGGAGTGGTGCATGTCTCTAGGGCAGACGAGTTCAAAACAATGAGCAGAGCGGTCACTTGAGGCATTATGGGACAGCTCCGGAGGCCAATTACAGCACAGAAAGCAATCAAGTGTCTACACTGGCAATAGAGCACTGGAGCCTCTGCGCAAATAGCCTTAAGATTCGCCTCGAGGTGATTTTTTTGCAGCACTGCAACTGAGGAGTTTCTGTGCACAAAGTGGCTTGACGGTGTGTACACGTCTGCAGTTTGAGTGCAAAAAGCTGCTTTACTGCACAGAAACTTGCCAGTGTAGACAAGCCCTAAGTTTGGTTACACTTTCAAATCTTTTCAATAGATTTATATTTTTCAATAGAAAATCTAAAAGAAATCCACCCATCCTTCCCCCCCCGCCAAAAAAAAAAACACAATGACTCAGATTAAAGACATGAATTTTTTTTAAATAAAGGTAGCCAAGGATCACAAGTTTTAACAGAAGTTATCAGTTGTTTATGGCATGTGCCGCCAAAGACTGGCTAAAATAGCTTTAAATATTCAGTGATTGAGAAGGTAAGTGTAGTCAGAAAGCTGACTGCAAAAACAGTTACGTATTTCCAACATTTAAAAAAATCTAATCTATGCTGTATTGTAGCTGTTCATGCCTTCAGACTGTAAGCTTGTCAAGGTAGGTATATATATTTGGCAACATTTAGCATCCGTTGACAGACACATAGCTGCCAACAGCTTCATTAGTATCTGAATTTGCACTGTTTTAAGAATTAGAATACAAAATGGCACTCCAAGAAACTAAAACAATGTAATTCAATGTCTGAACATGAAAAAATGTTAACTACCTGTCCCAGTCATCGTCTCCAGTTCTTCTTCTCCAAGACCTTTCTGCACCAGGCTTATCAAACTGATCAAAGTCATCATCTGTAAAGTAGAAGACTACATTAGATAGTTCTTACTGGAATATAAAAGAAGCGCAGAAGTTTTCTAATCCTGAAGCAATGACTTGTTCTCTTTAGGAATTACTGTCCTACCCCTTTTGGGTTTTACAATTTTTCTCTGGTATTTGTTTAATTCAAAAAGTTAAGATGTAGTTTGGTCTTAGTTAGTAAGGAAGTAGTAATAGTAAGATGTAGAGGTCTTATTGCTAATGAAGGTGAGACTGCAATGCGGGGAAATCAAACATAGGAAAGTATGTCAGCACATTGATTGAAAAGTGAAACCAAATTTCAGATGGTAAAAAGTATTTAAACACTACCTAAAAAAGCCAAGTTGTGCTGACTGGTTATCAGGAAATATTTTGCTTTTAAGTGAATTTGTTTGTAAGTGACGACAATTTGGCAGCCTCAAAAACTGAACTCCTAAATTTATCCACAAAACAGGTGCAGCATGCAGCGTTCAGACAATCTTCCCATATTGCCCAGCTAATATGTCTGACCTGTAACTCAGAGGGACCATCTCTTGTGAGGAGAGAATAATCCATTCCTCACCCCCAAGTAGAATACGGTTATAGTATGAAAAAAGGATATCACTACAACTTTGGATTAACATGTTTTTTGTTTTAATGGTTTCTATAAGACAGGTGCCATTTTTACATAATCACTTTCCTGACTAGAATAAGTACAATTATTTATCTCTTACAGCAAAGGGGTACCAAATTAGGGCCAATCTCAGAATGATTTTTTGATGGTTTGGTTTGAAATAAGCCTTTAAAAACCTATACCTTTTCAATTGCCACTTAGGATTGTGTGTGTGTTCAGGTCCTCCAGTTCAATCGGGCATCCTTCTGTGACAATTTCCCCACCCAATGGCCAACCCTAGTTATCTTCCTTTTGTCTAATTTAAATGCAGGTTTCATTGATGGCACTCATGGAAAACCCAAGGTGAGCATAAAAAATAATGAAAACTCAGCTAGGGCAGTCATCACTAATTGTATCCGCAAAAAGAGCAGGAGTACTTGTGGCACCTTAGAGACTAACAAATTTATTAGAGCATAAGCTTTCGTGGACTACAGCCCACTTCTTCGGATGCAGGATCCGAAGAAGTGGGCTGTAGTCCAT